CATGGACTCCATCCATACTGCTCTCCTGCAAGTGAGCTCCCAGCTTTGTTTTTGAGACAAGGCTCAGAGAAGACAAGCATTTGTCAAAGTTTCCACAGCCAAGAAGCAAAGTTGCCCATGTAGCTTCTGCCCTTCTGCCTGGGATCCTTGCTGCTCTACGAACTAGAAAGGGGTCTCCCGTCTTCATAGTGGTGACTGGTTGGGTTCAACGCTAGAGTTTGTAGTTTGTGTCTGGCTGTTTCTGCTCTTCCCTTCCTGCTGCAAAGAAGAGCAGTGGTGGGAAGATGTGTCTGGGACAGCAGAGGTCAGGGAAGCCCCTGAGCTTGATGTAAAGACCAGCGGGACATGGCCAGGACAGAAGTCGAGAGCCATGCCCACAAGGTCGTGGCTGTGTAGAGAGGTGCTGATCTGTGCAGGCTCTGGGGTCAGGATGGAGTTCAAATCCTAGGGTTACCACTGACCACCTACACAGACTTGATGGCCCTTCAAACTGTGAGCCTTTACTTCCCAAAATCCAGCTGGCTGTGGTGGCGCATACCTGTAACCCTGGCATTCTGGGAGGCTGAGGTAGGAGGACTACAAATTTGAGCCTAGCCCGGGCAACTGAGTGAGACCCTGTCTCCAAGTAAAAAATGTGAAAAGCACTGAAGATGCAGTTCCATGCAAAATCCCCAGTACTGGAAAAAAAAAAATCCCCCAAACCAAGAGTATAAAAAGACCTGTGTCCCAGGAGTGCCATGAAGATTTGATGAGATGAAGGAGTAAGCTCTTGGTGCGCAGTGTGTGGCCCCTGGCAACGGCTCTGATTCACCCACCAGCTCTTAGTAGGCACAGACAGCAAGTAAACAAATCCACAAAGCACTGTACAGGAAGGTCTGGCTACCACATCAAGCGAGGGGGTGCATGGGGTGGGCTCCCGGGTCGCATGGCGGTGATTCAACCTCTGTTACATGTTAGACTTTTCCAGGTGCCCTGCAGGCCCCAGACCAATTAAACATTCAGGGTCTCTGAGGACGCACCCAGCATCAGCAGCCCTGAAAGCAGCACATGATTCCAAGTGACCAAGAGCTACTGTCTGAGTGGTGGATTCATCAGTGTCTGGAGTGCTGGGAGGAGTGGCTGGGCAGGGGGTGATGAGGGTCCCTTCGAGGACAGAGCAGATTGTGATGCACAGCAAAGATGAAGAGTGCGTGCCAGGCTTGGGGAAGAGGCTGGACAAAGGCTTGGAGGTGGAGGTGAAACACCTGGGAATTGCGATGAGCTGAAGACCAACCCTTCTGGGAAGGAAGCTCACCTGGCCAGGTGTATGGCCGGGGGCAGGGCACTGTGGAGGATGGGTGCGGGTAGATGGGTAAAAGGAGCAGGGATGGCAAAGGGATGGCTTCTCCCATGCGAGGGCCCAGCGACACAATGGCCGCGTAGAGCACATGTGGAGCAGGATTCAGAGCCTGCCTCTGTGTGTGATTAACCGTGCCGGCCAAGATGGCGGCGCAGATGCCAGGCACCTCCCATCCAGGCTGGCAGGGAGGGACAGCTAGGGTAGGATGTAGAGTTTTACCTGGAACTGGATGCTTATATCCCCCCAGCCCCTATGTGATGGTATTTGGAGGTGGAGCCTTTGAGAGAGGCTATGGTTTGGGTCTGAAATATCCACCCCAGGCCTCCTGTGTTAAAGGTGTGGCCTCCAGCCCATGGTGCTACCCGGAAGTGACGGAGCCTCTAAGAGGCAGAGCTTAGTTGGAGGAAGTGATATCATGAGGGGTGTGGCCTTGAAAAGGATACTGGAGCCGGGGTTTCTTTATCTCCTTGCTCCTTAGCTCCTTAAAGGTGAGAGGCTTCATGTGCTACGTGGTCCCGCCATGCTGTGCTGCCTCAACACAGGCTCCAAAGCAACAGGTCAACTTCCCATGAACTGATACCTCCCAAACTGTGACCCAAAGTAAACCTACTCCTCAGGAGCTGATTATCCAGGTGTTTTGTTAGTGTGATAGGGAACTGACGAACACAGAAAACACCAAGAGCTGGGGTTGTGACTGACTGACTATCCTCGACACAGTGGGTATGAGCTTTGTTTACCAGTCCATGGAAAAGTCTGGAGAACACTGGAGAAGTAGGCTAGAGAAAGGATTCTGTTAGCAGACATTAAGGAGCAATTCTGGTGAGGCCACCGCAGGCCAGAATGCTGATAGGAGTGTGGACGGTAAAGGCTGCTGAGAGCTCGTAGGTGGAAACGAGGACTTCGACAGGAACTGGACTGGAGACCATGCTTGGTACATTACGGCAGAGAATCTGACTGCATTTTATTCATGCCCTGAGGCTTTGTGGGAGACTGAGCTTACATGTGACAGACGGATGTATCTGGAACAGGAAATTTCAAGGCAGCACAGCCTTCAGGCAGTGGCATGGGTACTGCTGGCTGCTTTGGGCAGATTTACAGTGAGAATCATGAGCAAAATGCAGCGTGGAAAGATTTGAAAAACTTGCAGTTTTGCCAGAAAAGGAGCATGTTTAGAGGTACTGCCAAGGGGGATGCAGTTGTTGGCGATCAACACCATTAAAAAGAAGCCAAGTAGTTTGCACTGGTAAGATTGGAATGACGCCCTGAGGACATCTCAGAAATCGGCAGAACCCTAAAGTTGTAAAAGTGTAAACTCATTTCAGAGATTTTCCTTTAAGAAGAGAGCCCTGGGGAACCCTACTTGTACAAGGCCACCTAGGGAATTGTTTCCTGGATTTCATTTCCCATGTTCAACAGTCAAAGAGGACAGAACCCATCACAGCCATGGCGCAAGTGAGCTCTGGTGTAGCTCACGGCAGCTACAGACCTTGGCACTGTCTATGTGATCGTGGTTTTGCAGACATGCAGAAGGCAAGGGTTGTGAGGCTTCCACGGAGATTTCAGAGGAAGGCCTGGGAGGGCAGGCAGTATGCAAAAGAGTTACAGTTCCTTGTTGGGAGCGGCTGAAGCTGGAAAGTAATTACGCGTGCAGGACGGAGCCAGCCCAAGAACACGGGAGCTCCTCGAAGCACGTAAATAAACTGTTGTAGCTTGTTAACTGATTGCTGGGCAGAGGGGCTGAAATTAATCAACCTCTCAAGGGTATAAAACAAATGCTCTACTGTTTTGGGGCAGTTCCCCTTCTCTGCTCAAGAGAGAGAGGACCTCCTCCTCGTTCCAGCTTTTTGTCTCTTGTCTATTTTTTCCTCATTCTCACCGCTGTTCCTTCCCGGGGTACAGCAAGAACCCAGCGGATCCTTACAGTTCCTGCCACAGCCCCTAACAGAGCAACGTGTGAAGCCGTGAGAGTGAAATCGAAGATGCAGCGGAGACCCCAGGAAGTGGGAGGTGCCAGGAACGTGGAATACCCACCGAGAGAAGCTACGGGCAGCAAGAAGGGCCACAAAGGCCCAGGAGGGCTGCACCAAGTGAGGCCACAAAGCAGGGTTGCCCAAACCCTTTCGAGCCCACATCATGCTACTTAAGATTCCCTAGACCTGTAATGGCAAACCTTTTAGAGACTGAGTGCTCAAACTGCAACCCCAAACCCATTTACTTCTCGCAAAGTGCCAACCCTGCAACTAAGCCTGAATACCGAGGTTGTAGTTTAGAAAAAAGTGACTCATACATTAACATCTTTTGTCTTACAAGAAAAACCAATAACATGCGTGCCATAGGTTTGCCACCATTGCCCCTAGACACTGCATGAGGACCTTCAGGATTTAATGGTGGCCCTGTCGGATTTCAGCCTTGCTTTGGCCTGATTGCTCTTTATTATTTTCATATTTGTTCCTTCTGGGATGGAAATGTTTACCCTGTGCACCTTGGAAATATCTAACTTGCTTTGTTTTTATTTTTACAGTGGCTCACAGCTGACTTTGCCTTGAGTCTTAGAAGAGACCTTAGGACCAAAATGTATAACAGATATTCTGAAATAGTAAGAAAATGTTCAAATGGGGAGTGAGGCAGGGGAGAAGGGGAAAGGAAGGAAGGAAAATTTTTTTAAATGAGAAAAGAAGGAGAAGATGGAAACAAAGCTGTTTCCATATATGAGGAGGGGAAGAGGGATTGAAGGGAGGGGAGGGGAATGGGGAAAATAAACAAGTTATATCACGTACGGGTACAAACTCTTGATGATGAATGTGATCATTATGTATATCTAAAATGTACCAATAAAATCTGACTAGAAGGAAAAAAAGGAAATGGAGCTTAGAAATGGAAGGAAGTTAGGTCACCAGGGGCACTGCTCTTGATGGGGGTATTGGGACCTTGACTTCTCTCTTTCTTTGCCTCCTGACCACCGTGACTTGAGCAGTGCTCCTCCGCTATGCATCCTCACCATGACATCCAGGGCCTCCACAGTCCCCAAGCAACAGGACCAAGTAGCTATGGACATAAACCTCTGAAACTGTGAAGAAAATAAACCTTTCTTCCTTAACTGTTTATCTGAGATGTTTTGTCACAGTGACACAAAGCTGATTAACACAGGAAGTAATTATGTCGTGAGGGTGGGGCCCTTGTGAACCGGATTAGTGCCCTTCTAAAAAAAGAGACACAGGAGGGCTAGGGGTGTAGCTCCATGGTAGCATCCTTGCTTGGCATGCACAAAGCCTTGGGTCTGATCCTTAGAAGAAAAGACAGAGACTGACCATGTTGTGAGAATATAGCACAAAGGCAGCCGTCTGCAAACCAGGAAGAGAGCCCTTACTCTAGAACCAAATCAATTGGCACCTTGATCATAGATTTCCCAGCCTCTAGAACTATTGGAAATATTTTAAAAGCACATCAGACTTTTTGATCAGCCCTCGTAAAATTCTGTTGTTTAAACTGGACTCATCTATGGCACTGGATTGTGGCAGTCAAAACTGAGACAAGCTTGTCTTTAATTTCCCTCTGTGATGCTTTCTTTGGAGTGCTTTCAGGAAACAGGACCTTTCCACACCTTGGCAATCAAGAAGAGGAGAAGGGAGCTAGGTCTGTACTAGATAAACAAAAGGCAGGATGAGAGGCAAGGATGGACAGTGTACTTGAGCCAAACACTGCTCTCTGGACAGCCAGGGCTTACAGATTTCTAAGAGTCCTTGAAGTTCTGAATTTAAATGCTTTTGATAAGGTGTGAGATCCCTGTTACTGGAGGCATTCAAGGAAAAAAAGAAAGAAAAAACTAGTGCCAAAATCTAAAACTGTGGCTGGTGAGTGGGACTTCTCCAGGGTCCCCAGCCTGGAGATTCTTCGGTACAACCAACATCTGGCCAGGAGCCTGGAAAGTGACTTGTCCTGATGCCTGGGTGTGGACTGCACAAGGCTGGAACCGCCAAAGAGCCCCAAGGGAGAGGGCGCAGCAGCGAGCTCTCAGAGCCCACAGCCTGAAGGAATGTCCAGCAGACAGCCAGTTCATGTGCTTGTCACAGCAGATGGCCGGCCGGTGACCTTAGGTCCTCTCTGAGTTCCCTTCCTGCACGTCAGATTCCACCTTGAGCTCGCCGCAGCCTGAGCTGTTCTGCCTGGCACCTCTCCTTCTCAGCACAGGCCTGTGGCCTCATATCCTCTTCTGGCAAGAGCGTCTTTCCTCTGGCGGGCTGCATCTGCAGGCAACAGACAGGAAAGGAAATGTCCCAGGGCCCCACTGGGGTCATGGCGACCTTGCAGGGCTTGTCACTATGGATTTATGGAGCCCAAGATTTGAGCTACGCTGCCCACTCAATGCCGGGTGTATGCTTCAAACCCTGGCTTAGCTCTCGGGCCTCATGTTCTCCCGGGCTCCACAGAACAGAGCTGGAAGCAGCATGGATGTAGAGCGGCCTCCAGCCAAACACTGCTATCTCTGGCCCACCAGGGGCTCTGCAGGGTGTGCTAGCCTCCCACTTGCATAAACCATAAACTTAAAATAGGAGGTGTGATCAAAATATACAGTGACTGTTTCAGTTAAGAAATATACTACAGTAAAAGATATTTTACCGTTCATCCCCTTTAAAATCCTTCTCCTCAATTCACACTTATCCCATCATCTTGCCGCTTTCTGAAGCAGTTCTGAAAGTCCTCTTTCATGAGTGTCTTTACCAGGTATGATCAAAAATCTGGTGAACACTGCTGCTGAATGCCATCCAATAGAAAGGCAGAGCAGTAAAAACAGTACAATATGTCCTCATCCACCTTATTTACCAGATCTGGCACCACGTGACTTCGGGCTCTTTCCTAAAGTCAAAGTGACCATGAAAAACTGTTTTGAATCAATTCAGGATACCAAGGCAGCCACGACTGAGCAACTAAAGACAAAAGAAGACTTGCAGAACTATTGCAGAAAGTGACAAGAACGGTAGGATAAACACGTTTCAAGTAAAGGGGAGGATTTTGAGGGGGATTCATAGCAGTGTCTTTTAGTGAGATACTTTTTGAAATTTAAACACTCACCATATTTGCTGATGACACTTGGTGTGTGTGTGTTACACACAGGTTATCTTTGGAAGAGTCTTCAAAAAAAAAAAAAAAAAAAAAAAACAAATATCTGTGATGGATGCTTCCCAAGAGAGAAGCTGGACGCTACAGGACAGAGTGTGAAGGAAGACCAGCTTTTTATCCCACGGCTTCCTGGGTTTTTGGAATTTTGTACCATATGCATGAATCCACTTTTGGACATTAAACAGTTTCTAGGACATATTCTGTAATCACACTCTGAGTTCAAATGTGTGGCCCCGAGCACACCACCGGGCCTCTCTGTGCCTCGGTTTCCTCTTCGATGAAACAGAAAAGGGACGTGAGGAGCGGCTGGCTGAGACGGTCCAGTGAGGTGGTCTCCACGCTGCCTGGCACCCAGGAAGCCCTCACGACTGTTGGCTACTGTGAGGACGCCTGGACCAGGAGACCCACCATCAGTCCAGGAGCTTTCAGAAGAGGAAACGGAGTCTGAGTTAAGGCACCAAGCCGAGGTCACACTGTGGAGCCCCTTCTGGAGGGAGTGAGGAGCTCCCTCTCCCCACCCCGCCCCGCCCCGCCCAGGGCTGGAGAGCTGAGTGGGCAGAGACAGGAAGACAGCTGTGCCCAGGGCAGCCACGCTGAGGCAGCCAGCACACAGGGGACCTCCCTTCTCCCCAAAGGTGAGGAAGAAGGAGTACCAGAAGAGATGGGGCTGGTGGGGAGGGTGGGCGAGGCAGGCCAGGGCAACGGTGTGGACCCCTCAACAGCCCCTGGGGGAAGAGGAAGTGAAGGGTGGGAGGAAATGGCAGGGAAGAAAGAGAACTGGGCAGGGAGGGGACTTCCCCAAAGGTGGGCTGGGAGGAAGCACGGCGCAGGGAGGAGACTCATGTCAACCCACGGGGAGATGAGCTAGGACAGAAAGACCAAAATAAACATTTTATCTTCCATCCCACGCCCCGGCTCCACCCTCCAGCCCCCAGTGGTGAGTGGGTGTTCCCCCTGCGCACGTACACGGACGGAGTGCGCATGCGCACAGATGCCCCCCTTCCTGCTTGCCTCACCTAGGGTTTAAGAGACGTCACTCTTTAGTACCAATTATGTCCCCCTTCTCTGCAGCCATCCCTGAGCACCCGAAAATCACAGCTCCGCCCCTCCCCCCAGGTCCCACCCCCATCACTGAGACCTGATCTATTCAGTAATTTCTTTATTGGTCGTCTAGCACTCCACCAAAACGAAAGTCCCTCCAGCGTGTAGAGCTTGGTCTGTTTTATTCTCTGAATTTATCCCCAGTACTTAGAACTGTGGCATTCGGTAGGCACTCAGACATCCTGCTCACCAGGTAGTGGGCAATTGCAGTATGCTGACCTCTTGCATATTTTAATTTTAACACTCTACCCATGGGATGGGTATTTGGCATTTTTGTTCCTTTTTTATTTACTCATGTATTTATTTATTTTTGAGACAAGGTCTTGCTAGGGTATAGTTGAGATTGGCTTTGAACTCACTGTAGAGCCCAGACTGACCCGGAACTCACAGTGATCCTTCTGCCTCAGCTTCCCAAGCGTTGGGTTTACAGACAGGCACCACCAAGCCCTGCTTTTTATTCCCATTTTTTGGAAGAGGAAACTGAGGACTGAGAGGTATCCAGTAACTTAATAAGTCCCTGATGCAGCAGTTTGGATTGAGCTGAGATTTGGAAACACCAGGGTGTATTTTGAGCCCCTTGGAAACAGGAGATGAAGGACTTGGGGTCCCCTCACCCCACTCAACCTGGGCCCTGTAGCCTGAGGGAGGCCACCCCGCGGCTGAGACCTCGCTCACTTCCACCCCAGAGCCCTTTTTGGCAGCCCACAGGGGTAACTTGGCCACAGTCCTGTGTGACCCGAGTCCTGCTTCTCTTTGGCAGAGTATGTCACAAGAGATAAGGAGCACAGCAGCTTTGCCCAGCTCCTGACGCAGCCGCGGTGGGTTGGTCAGGGTCAAGGCAGGAAACAGCAGCCCCTCAGGGTGTGCAGAGCATGTGATTAGGAGGGGATTTACAGACTTGCCCGGGGTTGGTTCCCCTCTCTGCTGTAAAACATTACTGCCCAACAGTGGCTTAAAACAGCACAGCTCAATCCCTCCCAGTTCTGGGGGTGCAAAGTCCCAAATGCTTCTTTAGGTGCCAGAATTGTGGTGTCAGCAGGACCGGTTTCCTTCAAGGGAGATCCCAGCCCTTGCCTCTTCTGCCGTTTGAAGACATCCACTTTCCTGGACTCCAGGTCGCATCACACCAGCCTCTGCTTCCTCTACTCACACATCATCTTGACCTTCCTGCCTCCCACAAGGGTCCCCAAAACTCACTGTGGGCCACACAGATAATCCAGGGTCATCCTGATGGAGAGCCCAGACCGACCTTGAAGAGCTCACAGCAATCCTCCTGCCTCAGCCTCCCAGGTGCTGGGATGACAGGCGTGCATCACCACACTCAGCCTCTAAAATTGTGCTTTTTCTTTTTTTTTTGTCTTTTTGAGACAGGGTCTCGATATGCAGTTCAGGCTGGCCTTGAGCTCACTTTGTAGCCCAGGATGGTCTCGAACTCACAACGATCCTCCTGCCTCAGCCTCCCGAGTGCTGGGATTACAGGCGTGCGCCATCACGCCTGTCACTAAAATTGTGCTTTTAAGAAAAACTGCAGCTTTAGGACACAAAAAAGAATTCCTAAGGGTGTTGAAGACACAATCAGCTTGTAAGCTGCGCTCTGGGCCTATGCTTTTCACCTGTGCCACCTCAAGGCGGCAGCTATGTCAGTGGGCTGAAGCTCTCAAGTTCAGCACAGGAATGATTTACATTCTGACACAGCCACGAGCTGGAACCTGGCAGCAGGAGGAATACATGTCCCAGATCACCCCCTCTCGGAGTCTCCCCACGCCCCGTGAATATACCCAGCTTTGATTAGACGCATTTCTCTCTCTTGAGGACCCACACTTTCTTTGACTGCATACTTTAAATTTCCGCCCAATAAACCCCTTTATGTTTTTTTACTGACAGGTCCCGAAAATTTCTTTTCTGCCATGGGAGTCAGCAAACCTGCAAAGCTAGTCTCCAAGAGCTGGGTGTGGTGGTGCATGCCTGTCATCCCAGCACTCAGGAGGCTGAGGCAGGAGGATGGCTGCCAGTGCAAGGCCACCCTGGGCTCTACATAGCAAGGCCCTGTCTCAAAAAAAACAAAACAAGGGGGCTGGGGATTTAGCTCAGTGGCACAGCGCCTGCCTGGCAAGCGTGAGGTCGTGAGTTCGATTCCTGGTACAGGAAAAAAAAAAAAAAACCCTAGGGTGAGGTGGGTTAGGTTCCTTATCTCAGCTTTGGGAATCTCTTCAGACCCTGCCTGGTGACTGGGCAAGAGAGAAATCAAGCAGCACACCACACCTGGCTCAGCTAAGACTGATGCTGAGGCCGAGGCCAGGGTCTTCCAGAGGGTCCAGGCCTGGTGCTGCCTGCCCCGCACCCCCCGCCAGTAAGGGCAGCCCCCATCCCGACCTCCATGGACGGTTTCTTCTCAAGCTGTCGGGATCTGGAGCAAATGAGCTGCTGGGGAAATTCAAAGCAAGCAGCCAGAAGGCTCTTCAAAGTCCTTGTCTGTAACAAAGGACTCTCAGGAGGCAGGAAGAAAAGGCTGCACCAGCAGGTAGTGGCCACACCCCTGCCTGCACCCTGAGAGAGGCACGGAAGCAATTAGAGCCCGGCCCTCTGATCCTCCCAGAGCAGCAAGCTGGAGGCTGAGCGGGGAGAGGGGACCCTGACCTGGGAATCCAGGGGCGGAGGTCCAGCCCGGCTCTTCCCTGGTAACTTATGGCCTTGAGTGCCACTGACCAGCTTGTATGCCTCAGATTCCTCATCTGTAAAATGGGAAGACTGGCGTTCAGCGAGGAGGTAGGGGTCTCTTGCAAGTATCCTGGTAAGTAGGAGGAAGCAAAAGGATGGGGTCACTAACTGGTGTGACAATAGGAGCCTGGAGTTGGAGGGACAAGAAGGAGCCACTCTGCGCCCGGGAGTGCAGGCAGCATAGAAGCTGAGAAAGGAAGAAAACAGATCTCCCTCGAAGCCTCCAGAAGGAACCGCCCTGAACACCTTCCCTCTCGACTTCTGATCTTCAGGACTCCAGGAGGACACGCTGTGTGGCTTTCTTCCACTGAACCAGGGGTAATTTGTTACAGTGCAACAGGAAACTGAGACAGCTCCCAGGGCTGGGTGGCCACACAGCTTGGCCCGGGCTCCCAACCACTCCTGTCCTGCCCTGTCCCTCCTCCCTGCTCAGCTCTGTTCCCTAGCCTCTGTTTCTTCCTTTGTGAATCAGAGATGGTAGTCTGCACCAGAGTGAAGAAAGGCTTAGCACTGCCCAGAGGCTAGGGTGGGTCAGGAGCCCTGGCCGGGTGGCCTTGGGCTGTCTGCTTGACCTCCAAGTGCCTGGGCTCCTCCTCCAGTTTGTGAATCCAGGCCAATGGGCTCAGAGCCGGGCCCAGCCCAGCAAGCGCTGGAATGTCACAGTGCACCAGGCCTGTAGTCCGCGCTCAGGAAGCAGGGGTTGCCCCGGCTGCTGTCACGGGAAAGGTCAACTCCACACACCTGCTGCAGCCCTCTGGCCTCTGTCCCAGATTCCCTGGGCTGGTGCCGGCTGGTTGCAGCATTCAGGTGGGTCAGACTGTGGGCACCAGACGCCCTCAGAGGGATACGCCCATCTTGTCTTCCAAGCAAACTCCAAACTAGGCAGGCGAGGCTCTAGGTCTAACAATGAATTGCTTCCTTTGTCAAATAAAACTGACCTGGAAACATGTCCCAGCCCATCACACAGTGCTCAGCCGGGCCCTCGTCGCTCCGGCTGCTTCCAACCACGCTGGCTCTCGGCTTGGCCTGGGGCTCAGGGGTGAAGCCTCGTGTCCCCCGCCCCTGGGATGGGCACTGTCTAGTGGGAAACACTGAAGGGTCCCAGCGCCCGGGAGGATCACCTTCTGCTGAAGATTTCTGAGCCGCTGTGGAAAGTCGCTTGTCCCCACAGCCT